AAAAATCCTTAAAAAATCCTTAAAAATCACCTGGGCATTTCACTGCACCGAACAAGTAGCCACCAGCCAATTGAACAGCAGCAGTGGTGGGATTCAAATAAATTAACAACCCATTCTCTGCCCTAATGACGGTCTGGGTAGGCATGGCTGGGTGGTCATGTGACTGGATGGGTGTGGCCAACTCAATGTCACTCACCTCTCCCAGCCCCTCACCATGCCATGCCTGGCCCCTCCCTGCCACGCCACGCCACGCTTGGCCTGAGAAGGTAAAGCTGATACCACTGGAGAGTGCCCCATTGGGGACAGACAGCTAGCTCTAGCTGGGTTCCTAACCATAGCCAGGCTGATATGCAGCTGGTCCAGCTTTGCGCCGCTATTCACGCATTAGGCTAAGCTCAAAAAAATTGGGAAACCAGCAGTTTTGGCTTAGAGGGCTGCACAGCCCCGCAATCCAATCATACATTAGTAGGTCCATATCCTATGTGCTCTCCCTGCCCCCCTTTTGTGCAAAGAAATGAAAACCAATTTTGCTCTCTGGGGTGCTGCCAAGTGTCAGGGTTCCAAATAGCATCCAAAATTAAATCAGAGTCCAAGGCAAAGTATTGCTCAAAGTTCCAATTTATTAAGAGAGCCATGTTGGCACATCTGGGAAAACTCGAATGTGAAAGATTCCTGCTTTTCCCCACCCAATTGAAAGTTCATGATCTTGCCCCCACACCCACAAGTCCATCACATGGCCCAATCTTCCACTGCCATGCTGGCAGTTCCACCCATCCGGTTCCAGTCAGGTGTAGAGGTGCAGAGACAAAAGATGACCTTGGCATTGTAGAAAGGAATTTTATTTTGGCTACATAGCATTTAACTCGATACTATCCCCCCCTCCCAATTCCCCACCATAGAAACAGCATAGTATATTAATAGAAAGTGTGGCAGGCCAAAGATCCAAAAGGAATACAGTTGCAGGCCTGACTCCAAGGTCTCTCGGGCGTAGTTCCCCCGGGTGTTGCAATGCAAGCAGAATGCAGAAGCAGAGGAAGAAGCAGACTTTGGCTGCTTCCAACCACAGAAAAAATGAGACCGGCCTCCCCACTCCCTTCTCTACCCCGCTTCTTGTCCCTTCCATCTCCCCAATAAACTGGGGATTGGCGAGAAAGTGACCCTCCTGGGCCACCCATCTTCCATTTCCAACTCGTCTCCCGGCCTATGCGTTTTTGCACAAGGTTTCCCAGCCGCGCCCTGCTCCAGCTGCTTCTCCTTAGCTAACGCCCAGTGAGGGAGAAGTTGCTCTGCCATGAATGGGTGGAGATGGGTGGCGAGGAGGGTGCAATGCTCCTGCGCTGAAAAACCTTCCCTTACCCTTCTCCTGTGTAATTGGGGCCTTTTTACTCCATCTTAGGCCTAGGGGACGCTTCGGGCACAGATCACCATCGGCCTTACCTTTGTGTGTAACCATGTTGAGCAGAGCGGTGTGAGCCTGGTTGTTCAATACACACACACACACACACACACACTATCAAAGTGGATCCTGGGCGCTGCGCTGCAATGGAAAAATGGGAAATGGAGTGGCCAGCACAAGGGAAGGAAGAGCAGGGAAAGAGGAACAGCAACCTCTTTCCTTCATGCTGGCTGCTCTGTTGCCCACCCACCACCACCCAGATGCCCTTGCTTCCCCCAAGCATTTATTTGCCTGATTTCCAGCTTCGCCGCGTTTCTCTATCGTGTCCTGCCTGCAGCACACATGCCAGCTGCCCCTTCCCAGCCAGAGCTGGAATGCCACTGCATTTAAGTGCTGGTAGATGCTGGCATTCCCTCTGGTGGGCCTGGGCAACTGCTGGAGAGAGATGGGACCATTTCAGTGCCTGGTGTCCAGATACCCTCGCTTCCCCCAAGCATTTCTTTGCCTACCTGGTTTACAGGTCCGTTGCTTTTCTCTATCGGGTTTCTTGCCATCGTGTGCAGGGAAACAAGTTTGTGGAACTAAAAAAAAAGAGTTCAATCAATCAATTCAAACTTCGCGATTTTTTTTTTTTTGCGAGAAGTTGGAATTGATTGATTGAACTTTTTTTAGTCCCATGTCCCAAACACGACAGAGAAATGCGACAGGTAGGGCAATCATGGGGCCTGGGGGGGAACAGCATGCAATGTGATTGTGGCAGCTGGGTGGCAGCATGTGATTGGTGCTGGGCTCTGGGGGGGACAGTGTGCAATCAGCAGTGGGCTGTGGCTCTGCCTGCCTGTTGGCTGGCTTCCTTGCTTCCTCTCTCTATGCAGTGAAAACCTTTTTCTGAGATCAAACAGTTTTGCACAGTAACTCAAGTTGTTGCTGCTAACAAGGAC